AAAAAAAAAAAAAAAACACAACAACGAAATCTTATTATTAAGTTCCCCACCTCCATAATAGAAGGTGCAGACTACGTCCTTGACGTAGTCATCAACAACCATGCGCTCTTTGTTGGCTAGGTGTTAATGATCTACCCATGCGCTGCACCCGGTCCCCTATACACAGTCTCTCAACGCAGTCGCAACTTATGAAGTTCTGAGTGGAGCCAATGTCTACGAAGGCACCACACTTGCTGCCACCTCTACTGACTTCCGCAACAAAATGCTCCCCTCTAGGACCTAAGACTCACGAGGGTCTCTTGCTGACCACTCATTTTGTAAGTCCTCTAAGGTCTCAGACACGTTGAACGAACAAAGTCTCGTTGGGTCAAAATGCGTCTGCGGGTTGACTAAAGAATCGATAGCTTTGGCCAACTCTTGAAGTAGAGAGGGTACATCGCCCACTTCATCAAGAGTAGAAGCGGCTACGACTTCTACTGGCCCGGTGTGTTTCCCGAATTATAGCTCGTAGAAGCCCCACTATGGGAAGAAGCCCCAAAACCACCTTTGGGAGGTATCTTCTGCGATACCTTCGCATTCTTGTATTTGAATTATTGATGGTCGTACTCGTCACAGTTAATGCAAGTTAAAAGCGGTCTCACCACACATCTTGATCCAGACCCACCCTCAGCCAAGCTGGTATCTTGCTCGAGTTATGGGTTTGCCCTGACTCTTTTGTTAACCGCCCTGCCTTAACTTTTACTAGTGAAGCGAGGTTGCTACCTTCAGCATTATCCTCACTTCCAAACTTTATACCGTTCAGTAAGTCAGAACAATCATCGGTCTCAGTTTAATTTCATTCGCAATCAACCATCATTAATTGACTACCTTTCTTCTTCCACTCATATGGACTCTTTTTTTTTTCCATCCGTAGAGGGTTATTGGGTTCCTCCTAGCCTAGCCTCTAAGTCTAGGGACTTCTTGTTGAAGGAGTCCAGAGTATGATATTCGCAGTTGGCCTCACTGACCAGCAAGTTCTTGACGTCTGTGGGAAGACAACCCAAGAACATGGTCATCAAGACATGTGGATCATAGCGCACGCCAGGGACGACAATGAAACTCTCCACGGCAGAGGTAAGTTCACGGGCGGACTTGTCCTTCTTAGCATCAAGCCGGGTCAACGCATCAGTGGCCTACTGCGCCTGCTGAAGGTTGTGCCACCGCGTTTCTACCAACTCCATAAAGCTTTCTAAAGTATGGGTCTTAGCCCAATCGTTCATACGCCTGCCGAACCGCGTTTCTACCAGCTCCATAAAGCTTTCTAAAGTATGGGTCTTAGCCCAATCGTTCATACGCCTGCTGAACCCTTTCGAGGCTACCAATCCATCTAGCCATTGTGTTACTGAAGCTTCAAGATATGAGGCGGCACAGATCACCTTTTCCTCTACCAGCGTCCTCTTTGCCCTTATCCACACTGACACTACTCTCAACCGAGTGTTGAGAGCCTCATCCTTCTTATCACCTGACAAGGTTGAGGGTGGTTTCAAAGGAGTATTGGGGTCCCAGGGGCAAGGCAATCCGCATTTGTTTTTTTCCCCCTTTTGCCCCCCGCATGTTGTCTTATGGGACAAGGCAATCCGGATTTGTTTTTTTCCCCCTTTTGCCCCCCGCATGTTGTCTTACCCCGGGTTGCTATGGCGCATGTTGGAATACAAGTTCATAGTGGCGATGTTTCTATCCAAAGGGCCTCGCCCCACTACTTTCGAACGTGCAAAATGAGACTGAATCCTCCACTATAAAATGGAAAGATACATTGCAACTCCTTCCTATCTTAGGGCCTGGCTCCACCACTCTCGACTTGCACACATGACAATAAAAAAATGTCAACGAATCTTTCCAGGTTTCGGCAGGGGATTTAGTCTCACTTTGCACATTTCGAGAGTAGTGGAGCGAGCCCCTTGAAGCCAGATGTTTTTTGCCGTTTGTGCATGTGGGAATAGTGGAGAGAGGCCCCGGGCACAAATGACAAAAATATGGCAATGTTTCACAAAAATATGGCAATGTTTCTTTCTATGAACTAGCAGGGAATTCAGTCACATTTTTCATATTTTGTTTATTTACTTTCATTCATATGGCAATGTATTTTTCCATGGTGTGTGTCATCATTCCTATCTTAAGGCCTGGCTTCACTACTCTCCACATGCACAAGCCACAAAAATCTGCCAATGCATCTTTCAAGGTTCTAGCGGAGGACTCACTCTGGGCCAACGACTAAGGGTCTCGCTCCATTACTCTCGAAATGTGCGAAGTTACTGTCGCAGGGGAAATGTGCAAAACGAGACTGAGGACATGGAAAGATCCACTACCATTTTTTTCTGTTGTTTGTGCATGACGCCAATAGTCCTCTTCAGTCCCTGCAGAACGAATGCTCTGCCAGAACATGGGAGGTACTTCAAATGTGCAAATCTACAGAGTCTTCCCCCTTGCAAAGGGCAGAAAGCATGGCGGTGTACGTTTCCGTGCTCTAGCAGAACATTCATTCTCATTGCCATGTGTTTCTTTTTTCTTTTTTCCCCCCGCGGCTTCATTCTTCTTACTTTTTCAAAGTTTTTCCTCAATTTATGTGTGTCACCCTTGCGCGCCATGCTAGTCCACTCTTTATTGTTCCAGTTTTGATGGATGTCCTGAAGGCCATGCTAATCCAATTTGACCGGATGTCCCGGTCTAATTTTCATACTTTTTCAATCTCCTGCACAGAGGTCCTATGAATGTGATCCTCTTCACACATTTATATTGACTCTCGTCAACATTGCATTTTTTTTTTTTTTTTTTTTTTTTGAGAACATCCCTCATGTTGTGGGTGCTAGAGGTGTTGCTTCAGTTTCTTTGGTATTCACTTTTGGGTAATACCAAAGGTTGGTTTTCCTAGCTCTAGTTTTTCCGGTCCGGGTTGAATGCATGCGTTCGACTAAGCTCTTGATCTGGATGCGGAAGGATTTTGTCGTCACCCCATACGCTGGCTCTTTGTTAATTGATCCCTTGATCCAATGCTGGGTCTATTCGCGGGCTTGATAGTCAAGTCAAGTAGTACTTGCAACTGTCGTGTCCTTGTCCTTGGTTATTTAGGACAAATCCGATCCCGGAAAAGGCACTCCTGAACAGTGAATACAACAAAAATGTGTAGTTTAGAAGTGTGTCAGGAACTTGGCAGTCGCCGTAACAGGACATGGTATGATCATGCACGGTTTGAGTTTATCCTCTCCTTTAAAAAAAAAAAAAATTCTCGATTTATGCGTGTCATCCTTGCGCAGGGGCCATGCTTATCTTCTCTGTATCGTTCCAATTTTAACGGATGTCCCGAAGGACAAGAGTTTCTCCTCTCCTATTCTTTTCTTTTTCATTTTCTCTGTTTTTTCCCCTGTTTATTGCGCTTTTTCTGTTGTAAGTGATGACTCTGTTCGAAGTTCGTTAGTGCTACCCTTGGTTCTGCAAACCCGTCCGAGGCTCAAACAAAGTCCAAAGAATAAGTCTAAAAGATCCTAGCCTGTTGAAGTAATTCCCATATCGTCATACGGTGGCCCTACCAGCAAGAGTGCGTCTCAGTATGGCATTAAGTCCGTGTCATGGCGTGCTTACATACGCACAAAACCTTCACACACACGTTGTGAGCGCGTGCGTGCCACCTCTCTCTCTCTCTCTCTCTCTCTCTCTCTCTCTCTCTCTCTCTCTCTCTCTCTCTCTCTCTCTCTCTCTCGCCTGCACCCTTATGCAGGCTTGCCCATGGCAGTGGCTTGCGGAGACATGCAGAATATCGGGACTACTCTGCACCTCTCCGCAAACAAGTCCACATTAGACATGTAACGCCTGAATCTGGACGTGTTTGTGGAGAGGTACAAACAGCCGATAATCTGCACTTCACGGCAAGCACATCCAGATTCAGGTGTCTCTCGCTCTCCATGTCGTGGCTGGAGCAGCATGGCAGGGTGGGGTGGGGTGGGGTGAAAGGGATGTGGTGATTTCTTTCTTTTGGGACGCAACCCCACTTGTGTGTAGCCCCCGGGGGTGTGCTCAACCCCTGCTGCTGAGGGCATCCAAAGTTTCTGCACCCGGCGAGGCGATAATCCTTTGAACTCTTACCAACAGGCCTAGCTCAGTTAGTACACCCCTAAACTGTTGAAATGCAGTGTGAACGTGTATTCTGACTGGGTGATGACGTGTTCGACGCGTTCAAAACATAACATAGGCGCAGTAGCATAGAGGTATGCGGTATATACCGTAGTGAAGTACTATTAGTAACTTCCGGAAAAAAAAAAAAAAAAGAGGAGGCCGGGCACTACAATGTATGTACATTATATTTGACCACAACCGGTTATACTCAACTTTATCACCAAGTTCTGAAAACTGAAAAATTCGGGGAAACTTTCCTATAACGTATGCTCTCACCAGCACGACTAGCATCCCAGAGGGTGTGTGTTTATTTATAAAAAAAAAAAAAAAAAAAAAAAAAAAAACGTATGCAACTTGCATTCAGGGGAAGACTGTAGGACCGGGTTTCATGTTCCGGTCTCCAGATGTGGTGGTCCAGAAAAAGTTCTAGCAAAGAACTCTGTCATAGCCCCCTCCTTTTTTGATTATTCCACCCCTCTTTCAATCAGAGGTTCTCTCTGCAGCATTCTTTTCATGCGCTACGTAACCATACATCTGTATTCACCGCATAAATGTGCGTACAAGCATGCACGCTCCTGCACACGAGTATACCTCCACATACAGGTATGATGTCTGTATGTATCTACAACGACATCCCCATGAGCATGAGCCAGTCATGTGCGGATATGGCTGTCGTGCGGCAGGCCTTCCTATCCCTTTGTCCCTGACCTTACAGCACAGTACATGTTGCCGTGTGTGTGCAAGAAAGGAGAGAGGAGGAAGGGGACAGAGGGTGAGAGGAAGACGCTTCAGGGGGGTAGTGGGATCACACATAGGGGAAACACACGTCTGCAAGGGTAAATGAGGAAACGGCAAGGAAATTCATTCCATGTCAAACTATCACAAAAGAATCATCATTTGCGAACCACCCCGGCCATTCCATTGCCATCAGAGCGCCGCGCACTATCAAGCGCATAATTTATGATTGCTCCACTCAAAGAGTGATGCCCAATCGCCTCCCTACCAAGAGTGGTGTCCAATGGTTCCTAGAGTCTAAAATCTGCGCAAATCCGAGCTATTTCCCAGCATGCTGAAAAGCATCCGGTATATAGCACAATTAACTTATGGTGCACTCTGCAATGACCCACGAGTCAAGACCAAATAACCAAATTGCCCTTGGAGTATGGTTGAATCTGACTCCATGGTCTCATCTGCTGAAAAAATTGTGCATGCTTCCATGGTTCTTTATTTCCTGCAAGCGCATTTGTAACATGATCGCACAGCCGTAGAGCTGTACCCTGCCAGTGAAAACATTTTCAGACCTTTCTTCCAGCTTTTCTTAATACACAAGCACAAAACACGGCCAAGAGTCACAGCACATCTTCAGCCCGCCCTTCGAGCGTTTTCCCAAAATGGGCCCAATCACTCGAGGACCGCATCAAATGTCATGGGAGGAAACATACCGTTACATGATTCCAAAAATGTCACAAGACACCCACCCAAACCGCCTTCGCCCCTGCCTCCCTCCCTTCTCTTGCTTGCATTCTTCCAATGCCATCTGCTGACAAACCCAGGTACAGAACTGAATACCCTGGTACAAACCGGGGTCCAGTCCAAACCCAGGTGTTGAACCACCAGTGCTTGGCCCATACATCCGCCACGGGTGTTTCCCGTTAACGCGCCACGACCGATGGGCTTCGGGGTACCAGACCACAATGGCTGGAGGCGCCAGCCAAAATTGAAGAAAAACGTCGCACCGTCAGTTCGGCAAAACTTGGCGCGCAGGGCGTTTCCCGGCTCGGCATCAATACCAGCTGGGCGGCCAAGTACTGGTGGTTTAAGATATGCCCGCGCGCGAACCCAGGTACAAACCCGGGTGTTAAGATACCCGGGTGCGAACCCAGGTGATGTTAAGATACCCAGCTGCGAACCCAGGTGCCAACCTGGGAATACAGCCATGAACTTCTGAGCTTGAACCTGTGTGATGGTCCACCTCAGCACTCTTCCTGGAATGCTAGATGTGCCCAACAATGCCAACATCATCCACAAGAAGCTGTTACATAACCCGAGCAGTATGAGACCTGTCACGACTAGTGGGAGTGGAACCATGGCTATCCGATGCAACTGCAGGTGCGCCAAACCGGAACTTGAAAAAACATACAATTCTTAAAGCAAAACATGTCCCGCCAGCGTAAGCAGGCCCTGTCTGTCTGACGATACTTTGGAGGGACTTCTCAGAAGCCACGCAGTGCTCACTCACATTCACAATTCTAATCTGACCGCTGTCGATTTGCCACTCCACTTTCTCAAATCCTCGAACATTTGCCTTCCCCTTTCTTTGGCAGCAAGATTGTACCAAGACGGTCTTCGCACATTGCCTGCCGAGGGAAACTGTACAGCCTTAACAAAATTGTAGGTAGTATTCTGACATAACCTTGTGGTCACCACTTGTAGCATAATGATGAACCCCCATTTCTGACATACTTTCGATAATGATGAACCCCCATTTCTGACATACTTTCGGACATGCTTGCTGCCACCGATTACCAGCAAAGGCTGTTTTTGACATTGAATGCCGGCACGTGCTACACTCCACATAAATGCCAAGCGACACTTACTCCTCTGACTCAAATGGAACCCCTTCCTGTTGCTTGCTGCACATGCAAGCAGCCTTGTCATTCTGCTGAAATCACCAAGACGGCTCCTTCTACAGAAACCAAACCCAACCCCTTCTCGCTCATGAAAAACACCAAGCCGTCTCCAGCCTTTGAACAGCCACACGGATCCTCCTAGCATTTAACCTTACACGAAGCTCGCAAAATTGCAACCTGCACTCCCAGTGACATAAGTTGATCGTCGCCAGGAATGTGCCAGGTTCCTGCCAAGTAACCAATCATGGTTCCGCAGTCTCCTGCCAAGCTGCAAGATCACGATGCCATGGGTAGTCAGATACAGATGTTGCTATCGCCTAAAGCCAGGGCCAGCCACGCGCCCTGGGTGTGCAATGACTCACAGATACAGATGCTCCTATCCACTAAAGCCAGGCCCAACAGACACACACAGAGAGAGAGAGAGAGAGGAGACCCTCGGCAGATTACATGCCATGCCATGGCATAAAAAAGCACAGGGAGAGCCAGAACAGCCTGCCTGTGCGAAGACGCACAAAACCAGTTGCCTCACTAGTACTAACACAGTAAAACTGAATTTGCAAGGATCAACTATCCTGAGTGTCATCTCGCCTGTGATCTGTTCGCCTATTTGTGCCATACATATTCCCATAAAACGGCCCATGAAAGGGTCATTTATCCTGCCTGTCATCTCTTTGCGCCTATTTGTGCCTACTACAAATTTAAAACAGACTTTGGAAGGGTCGTTTACCCTGCCTGCTGCCCCACCTGTCCTCTCTTCGCCTGTCTCTGAAAGGGTCATTTATCCCGCCTGTCATCTCGCCTGTCATCTCTTCGCCTATCTGTGCCATCACGACCATAGTCTCTCGACAAGCCGTCTCTGAAGGATCTCATTGGAGGAGATCTGCTTCTTTCGCGGAAGTCTCGTCCAGACCGGTTTGTGAACCCAGCGGCACTGTCATACTTGTCCTTTTCAAAAACCTTCACATCCCGCCCACTGAAGTCCCGGTTGTCCTTTCCCACTCCATCTCTTCGATCTCTGTACCTTCCGGCAAACTCATCTCTTTCCCGGTCTCGATATCCACTTCCACCCATCCAAGGTCCTCCCCTGTCCATTTCCCTGTCACGATCCCTTGAATCCATTCGATCATGACTGAAGCGGCCGCCAGGGGGTCCACCCCTCATCTCTCTTCCTTCCCCACTCCATGGCCCTGGGTATGCACCCCTGCCCATCGGCCCCATTCCTCTCCCACCACTGTGCCCGCCACCCACATAAGGGGGCGGAGGGCCCATTCCCCCACCACCTCTGACGCCTCCGGGCGCAGGAACTCCCATGCCCATTTGAGATATGTCGGGTCGTGGCTGCCCACACTGATTGCAGTGGGTTCGCCGTGCAAAATTGAGATTTCCGCACCTGGTCCAGAATATAAATGAGATAAAAGAGATTGTCAGATCTCAGAAAAAGAAACACACAAGCCTCTGCCTTCTTTGCACTCGATCGTGCCCTACTTCCAACTGTTCACACACATTGGTCAACACACATCGGGTGAAGACGGTAGTTTCATCGCAAAGTTTTGTTCGCAGATGCACTCCCCTATTGAAAAGTGCTATACATAACAAGCAGAAGGGCAAAAAAGAGGAGAGAATCAGGGTGGGGTAGGAAAGTGGGCAGAGAAGAGGACAGAGCAGGGGCTACAACAGGGACAAGGGCAGTGGCCAGAACCCCTACACTTTTCCGGCATTCTGGTATACAGTCAGGAGTACACTCGCGCAAGCATCATCTACACATTGTCTTCCCAGTTTCAATAGCATTACATGTTATGGGGCTGGGTTGCTTGGATGCAGACCGCCGGCCAGGTGAAGGAATCTGAATGTGCGGGTCCTGGTTGCCCAGGCTTCCGGACAAAACTACAGGACTCCAAGGAAATGAAAGGGCAAAACACAGACTTTATTGCAACAAGTGGACCTGCGACGTCGCACAGGGGATGAGTATCGGGGACATGGCAAAGAGCAGGAGGGGAAGAGAGGTCAGGAGAACAGAGAAGAGGAAAAAAGGTATTCTAAAAATCGCTTCCTGTGTTTTTGTCATCCACATTAAACCGCAAGTACACCGCGCAGGCAAACTTGAGAAGTCAAAAATGAGTCACTCTGAAAAGTTGGGATTCGCCCCAGGGCAGGCTTAAGGGTGGCCGAGAAATTTTCTTTTCGTAAGCGTGGCGCCGATCTCCACCCCAAGGCGTGGGACATTTTTCTCCCCCGTCCGCCCCCGGGCCCACCCTGGGGCGAGTCCCCTAACTTTTAGGAACGACTCATTTTGACTTCTAAAGGTTGCCTGAGTGGTGTACTTGAGGTTTAAGCCTTCGTTAATGTGTTTGAGCCACCCAAATTGTCAGCATTTCAACAGATTATGGGTGTACGAAGTGCGCCATGTCTGTTCGTGGTTGGAGGTCTCATCTCCTTTCGGGGCAAGCCTCTGCATCATGCACTCATGAACTGTTGATAGAGAGACGTAAGACCCAATCCTCCGTGCAACTTCATGCATTCATTTCAAATCCACCCCCTCCTCCCCCCACCCTCTCTCTCTCCTCGCCCGTGGCGCAGTGCTGGGCAGTGTTGTTTCAGCCAGTTTGTGAAACGGGATATGGGTTGCAGAGAGGAGAGTTCATCAAGAACGACATATGAACACGGGCGGTATGCACGAAAAGGATGGTCACCATCATTGCTGATGATGAAAACAAACAAAGAAACGAACAGCACAATGCACGCCCCATATCTCCACAAACCCACATTGGTGGAAGACAAAACACACCACATTCACATGCCAATCGCAACAAGTCGCTACTCACTGTCATTAGCAAGAGAGATACAGAGAGACAGAGAGAGGGGGG